AAATGGCCCTTGTTTCGTTGGCTGGAGAGGGGAGATAATGAAGGGCAGAGGGCTCCTCTGAGTGTATGATTGAATGAGGACTTGTGAGGGGTGGTACTGTTTGAGAGGAGCTGTATGGGAGGCATAGGAGGGGATATACTACTGGTACAGATATCCTTGGCCTATAGGCAGAGAGGACCTGCATGTCCCACCTAGTCATAGACTCAGACAGGACAATAGAATGAGTTAGAAAAAAGCGTGGTGTATCTCTCTGTCGCTGAGTCATTGTCTTGATGACTCAGCCAATACCGCGAACTACACGTTCGCAGCGTCAATAGAATACATAGTACAGACCTCTCTTTATACCTATCGCTTGGCATTGAAGCAACCTTGCGTATACGTAAAATAAGGCCAAGCGCCAGAATTATTGCTGGAAATCTAGATTTGGTATGTATGAGGGTTTATATTTCTAGGCATGATCATCGAGATCAATCGAATTGATTCGACTCCTTATGATTAAGCTCAGATGGGCAACATGAGGCTCATTGGTATCTGGAATGCAGTGGCTAGGAAATGCCACCTTGCGATAATTAAGCGGCTGGTTGTTGCTAGATCACTTGGAGTTTGGGATCACTAAAGCGTCGGGGATCTGTATTTCAGGATAGACTTATTTGTACGCGTTAAACCAAGTCAAGGGAATATTATGTATTATTGATTCATATTGAGAGGCGAGTCCGAAATCCTATACAACTATCACTAAATTCTCGTCCGAAATTCTGCACTTGTCCCTCGAGATATTTCCTCCTAGAAATCCTTGACAATTTCTAACCATTATCGTCACTGAGAGTGTAGAGAATTCAACTTGTTTAAATCTCAGATTGTCCCCCCTGGCCGTGATTCTCTGTAAATGCAGAGCAGAATGAAAGATGGAAGGAGGGGGACTTTTCTCAACGTCTGTCGGTGGTGTGGCCTGGGAACCTCTGGCTCTCACTGTAGATTCTGCAGGGCCGAGATTGAGAAAGATGGTGCTCACCTCGATGAGGATGCCCAGGCGCGTTCGCCGTCTGTATCGTCTGCATCTCTCAGTACATCTTCCTGTTTGTTGTGGTTATGGGGTGAGAGGTGTTTGGAAATTATATGACTCTGCTGTCCGTTGGTGGAGTGGGACGGGCTCACGCTCGATGGATACTGAGTGCGTATCACTGTGGCCAAGGGGTGTCAGTAGGTATCAAATGTGAACTCGTGCTAACCATGGTGTTCTATGTGGTGATGCTAGATGCGCATGCCGACGATTGATAATATCATCTAATGGGTGATGTGAGGAATGATATTACTTGGATAGCTCACTAAACTCGGCACGTGAGGAGATTGTAAATTTACTGAACACCAGCCAATAATTTCCACCCTTTCACATTACAGCAACCCATCCCCCATTGTCCCGTCTCGGAGAAAATCAGACATTCAGCGAAGTAGCCATTCCCGGAGCCTCGCGCACGTAGTCTCGATAGTTGCGGTCTTGCAAGTGTGAGGCCCGCGGGGTATGGCGCGCCGGAATCAATTCAGAGTGGTTTCTAGGAGTTCGGGGCGTTGTGAGACCATGAATTTCAGAGTGATCTCGGTATTCAAGAGGCACATGCGCACCACGAAGTCCGCCGACTGAGCAGCGTTAGACCACAAGCGTAATGCCACCCATATAAAAGAATGTTTCCCACTACAGGTTGGCTTGGCCAGCCGCTTTTGCCATCCTGTTTTAGCTGGCCGCGTGATATGGCGTGCGATGCATCCACTGCCCACTACGAAGAGCGTCGCACGACCACAGATACAATGGAAGCTGAGGGATTCTCCGGGGCCGTGGTGGTGGAGGCTATGTCGGGGCCGGTATTGAATTGAATAATTTAACGTATCAGGCTAAAGCCCTACATCCAGGAGGCTTGACACGGGTGCGTGTTCCCGGGGGGACCCACAAACACCACTGATGCTGGCTTTATGTGGCCAGAAATTTACATGATCTAATAAAGAGAAACATTTCATCAAAAACTTTTGCTGCCCTGACTTAACACCCTGCGCCTAGCCAGCTATCTCATAGCAGTTTCGTGTACTATATGTATCCCAGAAAACCTCGGTCACTCAAGTCCTACTTTGCACCCCGTAGCATGCTGTTACGGTAAGGGATCTATAGAAAGCTATGCATCCCTTTTCTCCCAACATTGTCCATATACTTGGTGCTATTTCATTTGTTGTTTTCCGCCATTCATTCAGCGCTGTCCGGCATTCAGAGAAATGCCACGGGCGTCTTTCTCGGCCACATTTGCACATAAGGTCTATTCCTTCGTGATGAAACCTCTTGTGATACTTGGCAAAATTGCCATGACCAGTCCTAGCCGCTATCAGACGATGATACGCCCATGTTGGAAGAGCGAGCTCTGGTGGTCGTTTTCGCTTCATCAACAAATCCAGGTCTTTGTATCGACTGGGTCTATTCTCTCTCCACCAAGAATCGACGGTCTCTAAGATATCGATTTAGAGCTGCGAAAGTGTATACTTGTCCTTGATTTGTTCTTGAAGTGAACCTTGCGTTTGAGGCCAATGGAAAATCTTTCAAGGCTGATCTAGCCAATTTATCCGCATGGATGTTCCCCATAAGGCCAGAATGGCCTGGGATCCATCGGATCTCTACTAACTCGTTTGATTGTAGGAGAGTTGTAACTTTGTCGACTGTAGCTTCGGACGACTTACTTCGGAAGACGGGACCGGTAGTTGCGCCATGGGCGATGTTAAGTCACTAGGGATCTAGTATAGAGATATGGCGTTGGATTAGGATACCCACGGAGGTTTGGCGTTATGGAAGCACCGATGACATTTTCATTACTACTCGCTTAAATCTCATAATATGTGTAGTTTGTAGACTGAGCTTTGCTCTTTAGCTTTATTGACTGTTAAACCTTGAGTTCTGGCTTGCCATAATCAGCGTATCATAACAGGCGACGACGCATGAAACGTAGCCAAGATCGGAATGATGGCGCCGGCTGCGCGTGCGTTCTGATACTAGCGACGCGGTGCTGACGAATGAGTCGCGAGGCAAAGTTTGGAATTAGAGATTTGCATCGACGGCTTCGTCGGCTAAAACTATAAACACTAGCCAGCGATGGAGGGTGTCGTGGTCGGTCGCCTGGCGGTGTTCTCTGGTTTAGTTTGAGTGGCCTGGGCACCTACTTCACTTGGGAAGGAGACGCCTCAGACCATATTTCGCGCGGAGGAAAGTTGAAAGATGATGAAGGCATGTCTGGATAACTCAGGGTTTTTGAGACGTTTCCCTGGGTGGGTATTCACGGATGAGGGCTGAGTTGGGGTGAAGAGAAAGCCACCATAACTTCGCAGTGGTACTTGCAAATGAAATCCGAGGCATGAGTGTTAGTCTTGTATATTGCGACATCTCTTCGGTACTTTTTCTCTGCGACTGCGTCATGGCTAGCGAGCTGCATGCGCAATTCAAATCTGATGTAAGAGAGGCATGGCAGAGTCCGCTCTCTCGCGCTCCCTGGACTGAAACCACACAAGCCGCCGGAAGAATGGCGGGTCGACTACGGCGGCAAGGCCGAATCGAGCCCGAATGCGACGAGATTGATCGGCTAGGGTCAGGCCGCGACGACGCTTTTGTGGTGGGGGCGAGCTCACCCACTCTTTCGGCCGGCCCGCAAAATGGTGGCCGAATTCCACGGGTTGGCACTGAGCTGAATGGCTATTCATCACGGGCCATATATCGATGATCTTACGAGCAACAAAAGAGGCAAGGAGCACTGTACAAGATGAGGCCTGGGCCAGATAGTAGCTCAATGTGCTAGATAGTCATAGAATCAAGTAGTACAATTAGAAGCATCACTCCCTCGGCCGCCCGGCTGGATCTCGGCCAGCGAGAGGGACGCGCTGTACCTGGCCGGCCGTGCAGCCCCATCGACGCACCCTCTGCCTGAGCACTTTGGGACGGCACGATGCCGTCATTGAGGCCGCTACGTTGTGGCCTGCAGATCAGCGAGGCGTCATGGCCGCCTCGCATCATGTCACTGTCGACCCCAACGCCCTCCCGCTCGCCATCATGTCCGAGAGGCGCAGGCCTCATGGTCGCCCACTCCAAGTCTAGACAGCCATGACCATCCTCTCGACCCGAGCTGTGCGCGAGCCAGCGAGATTGGCAAACACGACCCCCCCCCCCCCCAGCCAGCCATCCGTCCAGGCCCGACGTGCCACTTGGCGCGGGAGACGCCAGCATGTCTCATGGCGACCCTACATCCCAAACACCATCAGAGAGAGCACCCAATCGTCGTCTGTTGCATCGAGTAAATTGTCTCCTATGATTCGCCAAGAGTGAAATACGGGCGTCGCTCAATGAGGGTTCATCCTCAAAACAGCCCTCACTGCCGCTGATTTGCCGGGCCCAGATCCCACAACTCTCCTCCTCGGTCCATGGTCACAATAGGGAGATGAAATTTAACATTCTCCTCGATTATAATTCACTGCCACATTCAACACGTGTAGCTGTCCAGACCAGCCTTATTTTAAGATTTCACATGAATATCAGTGCTCGAGGACCGACGAGGGGCATTTTCATGGATAAGATGAAGCTTGAATTACAGGGTCTGCCATGTCATTGTCTGCACGATTACAAAGGCTGCGGAAGATGTGATGCTACGAGTCTGTCCACAGAGTTGCTTTTGGCAGTGGAAAAAATTGCTGTGTCTCATCATGTCCATCGCAATTCCACATGCCAAATTTAGGATCTCTGGCGAAATAGTAATCACCATTTCACGCTCACAGCCTTTAAGTCTTTTGCCACATGTTGTAAGGAAAATATTATAGCTGGTTGTTTATTACTTTTAGTCTAAGAGAGTTGACAGATTAGGTTGTCAGTCATGAGTATATATGAAATGTTTCCGGGGCTACTTTTCCCCACTGTGTATCTCGCTAGTCGAGCCCAACGCCGATACGCCAATCTATTCGTAATTTCTTTGTGCAAGCCAAGATTATCAATCAATTTTCATGTCACTTCCCCGGTGCTCGTTCCTTAATTCGAACGTCGGGGGTTCAGGTGTGTGTTCGCTCTTCAATTCGATGGCTGCTTCAATCTCACCCATTACCTCATCACTGTGTCCATCAAAAGAACTGCCATCTCTACTAGGTGCGCGGCAATCACTCTCTTCTATGGGGGGGCGCGTGCCCGACATTTCGATTGGGTGTCCCATAGCTGAAGTCTCAATGTCTCTTGGTTTCTTCTTTCGCAAGAATCCATGTTCAGTCACCAGGGCCTGTTTCAGTGTATAGGCCTTGACCCAGAAGTTGGATATCAACGCCAAAGAAGATAGTCCAGACATGATAACCCATAGAACCCGAAGACTCTCAGCATATGCTTCCATGAGTTGCTCTCGCATTGGTCCATCCTGCATTTCTCTGATTATTTCAACGAGTGCCGCTGCATCTTGACTGTATTGCTCAGCTAGGTTGGATAAAAGTGGGTATGCTGCTAATTTGTGTTTGATCTGATTTTGGAAAATAGATCCTCCAATCGCAACTCCGACACAGTTTCCAAAGGCACGGAAAAACGTGAAAAAGGCGACCGCGTGAGCCATATCAATCGGTTTACAGGCGGCTGGTATAGCTAACGCCATGCTGGTGAATAGTATGCCCATTCCTAACCCGGGTACAATGTTGAGAAATATCCATATCAGATTTGGAGTCTTGGCGTCTTCCAGGTAGAGGAGGCCAAATCCTATGCTGGTAAGGGCCCAACCACTCCATAAGGCCCACTGATACTTTCCTGTGATGGATACTAGTACTCCGACTACTGCTGCGACTGGTGCAATAGTAAATGTCTCTGGGAACATACCCACACCGCTAATGACAGGGGAAAATCCGCGCACGCCCTCAAAGAAAAAGGGACCGTAGTAAAGTAAGGACCAAAGGACGATGCCATGGATAAATGTCTGAAAGTAAACGAGCCTGGATGTCCAGTTGTCGAATATTGATAGTCGGACCATGGGTTCCTTTGCTATGTAGTATTCATATGGACCGAAACCTGCTAGACCAGCAAGCCCAATTACAAGTGGTGCGACTGTTCGAGGACTCGTCCATGGATACATAACGCCACCCTTAATTTCTTATTAGCTTTTCTCTCATATATAAAACTTAGTTTCTGGAGTAGAGAGGGGAAGTATTACCCATGTGAGAGGGATCAGTAGACTTGTGAGCGAGCCAACGAATATCAAGGTCCCTAGATAGTCGATTCGTTTGAGCTGAGCGAGGAAAGAGGCGTTTCTTGCTCGATTCAACTTGAGAAAGAAGGTGACAAAAATAAATCCGAGACCAATAATTGGGATGTTAATCCAGAATATCCAGGTCCACGATACTTGAGTTGAGTTAGCTCGGGCTGCAGAACACATTATTGGTCAAAGATCCTACCACTTTGTGCAAATGCACCTCCGATGATGGGCCCAGATACTGAGCCAATGGCCCATACGGCTGAAATTAGACCGAACCATTTTCCTCGTTCCTCCAATGGCACGAGGTCTGTGACAATAATTTCTGTCAAGCTGATAATTCCACCAGCGCCTAGCCCCTGCCAACTCCTACCAACTAACATGATGGTCAAGTTTCTAGACATGGCGGCTATGACTGCGCCGAGGGTGAAGAATGACATGGCGATGTAGAGCAGTGGTTTCCGGCCAAAAATGTGTGAGAGCGAGCCATAGCTGGGTTGGAAGACGGTGGACGTGAGTAGGAAAGATGTTCCTGCCCAGAAAGCCTCAATAGCGGACCCGCGCAATCTCAAAGCGATGATGGGTAGAGCGACAGATAATGAAGTCGCGTCAAGCGCAGCGGTAAGGGAAATGGTGCATAGAGTGAGGAAGGCCAAATAAAATCGCCAGTCCGGCTTGAATAGGGATTCGGAGGCATCGTCAGAATTCTTGGGTTCTACGGCGCATGTAGATGAGCCTCTGGACGCGGTAGTCATGTCTGTCATTGGCCCTGACTGTGTATGATAGAATGAACGAAGTTATTGATTGCATACAGCTAACGTTATGAGAGGAACGTTGTAATGATATCGACTTTTCTAAACAATAGAGGTAAGGGTACGGAGCATGGAATGGTTAGACCTGGCCATTGTGTTTCCCACTGTGCTGGGGCCTTGCCGAAGCAACTGAGGAGCATCCCCCGGAACGATGATTCTGTCGTCCACACATATCCCTGCATGACTCAATGCAGAAGCCATATGAGACGGCGAATATTGAGCGGATCACGCGGGCCAGCAACAAAAGCTTGATGAGGAGTTTATTTTTCCACCCATCATTTCCAGAATCACCGCAAGACAGGGTACGAAAATGACTAGGAATTCCCAGCCGCAATACAAGCTCTGAACGTAGAGATCTGCCGCGTCATCCTCGTCATGGCCAGCCTCTTCCGCATATCCTGCGTCATAAGCCGTCGATTACCACCCATCATGTCCAGACCCGTCGAGCAACAATAGCACATGTGGGCGGGCAAAGACAGCAGGTGTAATGGAGGTGTAGAATATGATTAAGGCGTTGTGGATAGTCATTCTAGCAGATTACATTCCAAGGATTTGAAGGCGTTGCCATGAGTTGCTCTTTGACCATTCAGGTCCAGGGTAGGATCTGTCCTGAAATGTCTCACAGCTATGTCCCTCATCTTTCGCTCTTAACAAGTGTAGAATGCCTATAAGTCTTGCGAGAAATTGCCGACATATGGACAGCTCCAGCGCGGGGCTGAACACTGCGGATGCTAAGATGACCATGCCCTGAGAAGGAGACGATCCGCTGCGCCCACGGATATCTCCAGACTTGCTAATTGTTTTAAGGGCCGTCGGGTAAATTACCCTCCACCGTGGAAATTTGTGCACGCCTGCGCTCATACCTTGTCAAATGATACAAGCAGTTGCTCGCCTGAGAATTGCTGTGTAATTGTGAAATGGCAGTGAGGAAATGAGTGCGCGACGACCGGGGAATGGAGAAGCTGATCAGGAAACGGCCGAGAATATTATTAGATTTGACCAAATTAAAAGACCGACAAAGAGGTGATCCGCTACCTTGCTTAGCCTCCCAATCCGGCGTCGTCGCCTTTTAAACTAGGGTAGCTAAGCTTTCTCATCTTCAAGGGATCAGGGGATGGCGACGATCCAAACACTTGAGGATCAGCGTCAGGGGTAGCTGCAATATTGCCACAGGCGGGGGACAATGCACGACGGCCTTATCCGGTAAATGTCCTCCAAATTTCGAAGTAATAGATTAAAGCGATGATGCATGCGATGATGTTCAGTCGGATCTCTTGAAGCTTTTCGACTGCTTTGTCTTGAAGATGAATACCGAGTACAGGCGCGGCTCGGCGTTTGGATGCACACCGCTTAAGGTCGTGTAAGCGAGGCGAAATAAATTTGTTGTGCGCATGTCGCGTGCGGTTAATGAGCGACACATGTGGTACGGGAGGCGCTCATCCGAGTGTGATCAGGCTTTCTAGGTCACGGGAAACTTGAATCTTGGGATTCCGATAGGCCTCCCTTGCTTGCCATTAAAACTTCCCAGGTGGCAATTCGATAGCAGTTCCAGAGTCATTGGGTGAGAAGGCATTGGAATTACCTCAGCAACCTTCTAGAATTTGGGCCGAAGAGGTACCCGAGACCTCCTCTAGCCCACAAATGCAGGGCCAAACTAAGAGGATTTCCCGGCTCTATGATATACAAGTGCCGAACTACGTATTGCTCTCGAGATCAAGGCCTGGTACGATAGTTTACGGTGATGAGGATTTCAAGAGTGAGATTCTTGTCGCTCATCGATGAGAACGTTTTGTCCATCAACGTGTGACATGGAAAGACGATCTTTGGAGAGGAGGATTTGGGACTGGTCTGCAGTTTGTTATTTGCAGATTTTATAATTACACCATGTGTAGATGGAAACTGTATCCTCTAATCTAATGCTCGCCACAGGCCGCACGCAGCACTTGTCATGCCGAGTCTTTCAATTGTCGCTTCCATGAAGTTTTTCCGGAGGTATCCTGGAGCCGGCGTTATAGTTTATCCAGGGAGGTGCGGCTGCTGGAGGCTTGGGTTGAGACAGGCCCATATGGTATCAGTGCAGACCAACGGCTGGCATGAAAGCGAGAGGGGTGACGTTTCTGTGGGGCTACTGGCAGGTCGAGTAGGTTACCGCTCAGGCCGCGCTGGGAATCAGGACGAATACCGAGGCCAACCGTTCGCTCCAGACAGTGACAGATGGCATTGATCAGCCAGACCATTGCACAAATCCTTATTCCTCTTCTCGCCTAGTTCAGATGGCTCACTGCATAATCTGTTCTTCGCGCACCTCCCATAGATGAAGGAAAAATGATTAACCTCTAAATACTGCACAAAATCATGAACGGGCACTCGTCATTCTAGTGATACTCAACCTACGATGCCGCCATAATAAACCCATTATTCGTCCTCTGATGATTACGCCTGCAGCGGCACCTTAGTGCCATTGTGAAATTAACTTTATGAATTTTCCGGCCCTGCCCCTTGACTATTGTGGTAAGAGATTAATTGAAGCTGCGCTAATTGACTAAACTCACATGTGTTACTTAAGTTGGCTACTAGACTTGCGCTGTTCACCTAGTCGGTTTATCTACAGACCACTATTCCCTAATTTATGCCCCACTTGTGAGTGGCTTGTTTATATTACTAATATGATTAGACTACCAGCAGCACCGCCCACGTAAAGAGTTGGCTAAGATAAATGTGTTCTTTTGATCTAGCAATACCGGCTAATGATGTCTGGGTAAATGTTATTTCTTCTGAACTTATCGACTATTTCTTTGTATCATTCTACCCGTGTTCAAATGTTTTACAGTCAACGGCACGACAAGTGGATGATTTAGCCTGCTGAGATCCGGCTCAGGCAAGCGCTGTTCCGAAGTCCTGCCCTGCCATCTACTCTAACGTGGAATTCTCCACTCTGAGATAGCCCTGGCCGGAGACGCTGATGGAGAGATCGCTATTACAAATGCCTACCAAAAGCCCTGGAGGCGAGAGTTCGGTATTAATAGATACATGAGGCGTCCTATCATATGTCATAAATAGGCGAAAAAAGTCGATGAATTGTGCGTGAATGATGTCCGCCCTGTAGCTGCAGAGAGAGCGCGCCAGGCCAAGGGAATCAACATGGGCGTGTTCGGTAATTGCAAAGGGGAATTTAGTCTGGCTCCTCGATGCTTTTCCATCGACTTGTGGTCGTGGAAGGCTGGGCCACCAGAAATTTTCCCATCCAGTCTCTGGCAAAGCCGTCAATTGCTGACTTGTGGGCCAGTCCCAGCCGACCAACTTGATCACTATAGAAGCTACTTGTTGTGACTGATCAGATTGAACGAGTGTAGCTATTCTAGAAATTATGTATTTGCAGTATAGTTAAAATTCTTGTATCCTGATGCCGGAAACGAAGTGAGCGAAAAACTGCATGAAGATTTAGCCTCGTAAACCGCATCCGCAGGGGAAGTGTCGAAGATGGATGCGTTATGTACTGATCCCAGACCGCTGAATAACGTTCGTCGGATAGTCATGCACAAATGCGCGGCCCGAGACAATTTCCGCCGCTACAGACATTATCGATGTATGGTAGTTTGTTTGTTCCCGCGACAACTAGCCTGGTCGATTGGAAACGTTTGAATTGCTTTGGACTGAGCGGGACCACTTCGGGCAGCTAACGTCCGCTACTTGTTATCAGACCAATAAAACTCCACTTTTCTGATCACATTAATCAGTGACCTGTTGAGTGCGTAGACGCATGAAAACAACTCTCCGCACCACGACCAAGGACATTTGGCGAGTAAATTTCAGCATATGTTAGCGGATCCGAATACATTCTCGCTGCATGTTTGAGTGCATACATCACCTCATATTTTTTTCAGAGAGATGCCCGTGGGCCAAGGTCCTGAAAAGGCCATATCCTCTAAACAAACTGAGGGCGGAGGGATGATTTCATCTTGACACCGATTTCATGTAAATATGATTAAATACCGCTTGAGTCGCTCCATGGCAGGCTAATATGGTTTGTATTTCGAATTTTGACTGGGTCCGGCTCTGCATGAACATCGTACTCCCAGGCTGACAGAGAACATTGCTTACAGGTGTTCGATCTTCGTCTGAAGGCAAAAATCGCAATGGTTAAACGATGGAATATTGTTATTTTAACAGTTGTAATTGTCGGAATATCCTCGCACAAAGAACCTCTCACCATAATTTGAGGAACATAATCCTCGAAGTAATCAGGAAGAAGTTGGTCTGGGCGGATGTCGAGTAGTTTCCCAGCGAAATTTTCTCCTTTTCCAAGAGCCTCCGTCCCACAATTCTTTTTGTTTCTTAGCAATACAGTGTCACAGCGCGCGGTATCAGCACTCAAAAGATCTAGAAGTGAATACAATTTATTCCTTTATCACATGAATACTCATGGTAGCTACACCTCTAATTTTTCAATTCAACAGTAATTGTGATTTATTGCAAGTGCGTTGACGTTCATTACACTTTTTAGCATCGATGCAGGTTGGATGTGGCAATCGTACACACTTCACGACATCAGGTACGTTGCGGTGCCTAACAAACTACATTTCAGGGGGACTATTCTCAACACCTGTCAGTGGTGTCCCCTACGAACCTCCAGCTCTCACTGTAGAGTCTGCAGAGTCGAGATTGAGTAACAAAGTCCTCACTCCGACGAGGATTCCCAATCGCTTTCGCGGTCTATATTGTCTTCATCTCTCAACACGTTCCCCTATCACCACTATCATGAAGCGAACCACGATTAGATCAGATGGTAGGGTCGGAGCCCTGCTCAACACCAACCCTTGATCATGGAGGAAAAGCCATCCGATGAGTATCGGGAGCATACCCTGCACCCGATACGGAGATGGCGGATTGGATCAAGCCGGCCTCGACTGTTATAAAGAAGGGAGATGTAGATGAATATGCAGTCATGATCT